GTCCCTGGGTTCAATCTCCCAAAATACATAAAGAGCACAAAAAAGTAAATTGAACATTCATGAACAAACCACCCCAGATGAATCAGTAGGCTATACAGACATCCCAGAAGTCCCAGAGACTCCATCCCAGCCACATCCCTTACCCCTGCAGTGAGAAACACTATGGTGACAATGAAAATCATCCCTTCACCTTTCTTTATAATGTTACCTCTCATGTGGTAATACGTTAGTTTCACCTGTTTGTAAACTTCCTGTAAATGGGTCAGTCATACAGTATGAAACTTCCGTTTGGCTCCTTTTGCTCAATATCATGTCTGTGTGATTCATCCAGATCCTTTCATACAATTGTAGATCTTCCCTTCTCGTTGTGCAATATTCCTTTTTGTGAATATACCAAAATTTATTGGTTCATTTATTAACATGTCTGGTTTTTCTCTGTGGTTTTTAATATATTCTAGGTGTGAGACCTTTATCAGTTATATATGCTTCCATTTTCTTCTCCCTAGATGTCGCTTGTGTTTTCACTCTATGGTGTCTTTTGATCAATAAATATTTTTTAATTTTAATGTCATTGAATGTTTTATAATGTTCATTTATGGTTAATGCTTTTCTGTCTTGAACAAAAAACTTTTCAATCACAAGTAAGCAAAGATTTTCTGGGGTTAGGGTATAGCTCAGTGATAAAACTCTGGTCGAGCATGCATGAGGTTTGAACCCCAACATAAAAAAAAAAAAACTTTTCTACCATATTATAATTTTACAGCTTGTTAACTTTGCCTTTCATATGTAGGTTTTGAAATAACCAAGAATTATTTTTGTGTTGTAAGACAGAGATCCAATTTCATCATTCCTTTTTTTCAAAATAGAACCAATTGTTCCATTTACTGAAAGTCCAACCATTTCCCACTGGTCTACAATACTTCCTCAGTCATTTATTTAGTGTCTACATAGGAGTGGGTCTGTTCCTGAGAGCACAAGTCTATCATTGGTCCACTTATCTACTCTTGCAGCAATATTGCACCACCTTCTAAAAAATTTTTTAAGTTGTAGATGGACATAGTACCTGTAATTTATTTATTTATTTATTTATGAGGTGCTGAGGAACAAACCCATGCCTCACACACAATAGGCAAGTGCTCTACCACTGAGCCACAGCCTCACTCTAATATTGCACCATCTTGATTGCTATGTGTTTATAATAAGTATAATAAGTTTATAATTATGTGGAAGTCCACATAATTTTATGAATTAATTAGTCAAAACCTACACATATGCAAACATCTATTGGAATTGAGATTGGATTTGCATTGAATCTACAAAACAGTTTAGAGGGTAATGACAGGTTTATGGTTCTGACTTTTCAATGTATACAGCTTTCTATTTAGTTTTTTTGTTTTGTTTTGTTTTTTGGTACCAGGAACTGAACCCAGGGGTGCTTAACCACTAAGCCACATCCCCAGCCCTTTTATATATTTTGTTTAGATACAGGGTCTCACTGAGTTTATTAAGACCTCCCTAAGTTGCTGAGACTGGCTTTGAACTCATGCTCCTCCTGCCTCAGCCTCCCAAGCTGCTGGGATTACAAGCATGCACCACCACACACAGCTCTATTTAGTCTTTTTAAAAGCCTTTCAATCAGGGTTTATATATTTCCATAAAGCTCTTGCCCTGTTTTGTTAATTTTTCAGTAGGTCATAAACAGTATCTTTTTTTTTAGTTAACAGACCTTTCTTTTATTTATTTATATGCAGTGCTGAGAATCAACCCAGCCCAATAAATGGTATCTTTATTTTAAAAATATTTATTGGGGCTGTAACTCAGTGACAGAGCACTTCCCTTAGCATGTGTGAGGTACTGGGTTCGATCCTTAGCAACACTTAAAAACAAACAAGGGCTGGGGCTGTAGTTCAGTGGTAAAGCACTTGCCTTGCATATGTGAGGCACTGGGTTCGATCCTCAGCACCACATAAAAATAAAGATACTGTGTGTTCAAAAAAAATTAAAAATAAAGGCATGCTGTCCATCTACAACTACAATTTCTTTGTTATCATGACAAAAGCAATAGTTTTGTTTTGAATTTTTTTTTTTTTTTGGTGCCAGGGATGAAACCAGATCTTCACATGTACTAGATAAGCACTCTACCATTAAGTTACATCCCTAGCCCAAGCAATAAATTTTTATTTTATTACTATTTTGGGGAGGTGGAATGGGACTCAGGAACACTCTGCCAAACAAGCTACACTCCACCCCCAGCTCTTTTTTATTTATTATTTATTTATCTTGGTACTAGAGATTGAACCCAGAGACATTGACAACTGAGGCACATCCCCAGCCCGTTTTTGTACTTTATTTAGAGATGGTTCTTGCTGAGTTGCTTAGGGCCTTGCTAAATTGTTGAAACTGGCTTTGAACTTGAGATCCTCCTGCGTCAGCCTCCAGAGCTGCTGGGATTATAGACATACACCACCATGCCAAGCCAAATAAATTTTTAAGTATAGAATTTTGTACCCAGAAATCTTTCTAAAGTCCTAGTAATTTTAATAATTTACCCATAAATTATATTTTCGACATATACAATGGTATTGCCTACACATAACAATTCTGTTCCTAATATCCAACCTTTAAGTGTTTTCTTTCCCTTACATTATTATACTGGCTATTAAGCCAGTGCAAGGCTCAGTAGAAATGGCTGTAGCAGCCATCCTTGGCACATTCTCAATGCCAAAGCTATAAACATTCAAATATGCAATGCTTTGTATATACCCTTTAACCTAAAAATGTCCATTTGACTGTTTTGCTAAGTTTTTTTTAAATCATCAATAGATGTCAAATTTTATCTAACCCTATCTCCCTATCTATTGAGATGATTGGAGGTTCTCCTTTAATCTGTGAATGAGGCCAATTATGTTGAGTTCAAATATTAAAACAAGTACATTTTGGGACTAAATCCTACTTGGTCATATTAAACTTTATAAAATACATTGTGCCCAGGAAATTATCATTTCATTTAGAATATGTGCATCCATTTTCTTGAGATTGTTCTATTGATATTATTTTTTGATTCATCAAGTTTTTAAAATATTTTTAGTTATACATGGACACAATATATTTATTTTGTTTATTTTTTAATGTGGTGCCAAGGATCGAAAAAAGTGCCTCACATGTTCAAGGCAAGTGCTCTGCCAATGAGCCACAGCCCCAGCCCATGATTCATCAAGTTCTAAAACAAAGATTATATCAGCCCCATAAAATGAATTTGGTATGCTCCCTCTTTTTCTACACCATGGAAGTGCTTTGGTAAAATTTGCATTTTTTGTTTCCTCAGTATTTCAACAGCAAAGCTATCTGGGAAGATAATGTTTCTGTATGGGAAAACTGTTGGCTCCCAGTTTCTTCTTCAATTGTTATGGGCCTATTCAAGTGTTCTATTCCTTTTGGAGACACTTTTGGCAAATTATATGTCTGTAGTCATTTGTTCAGTTGACCTAATTTATCAACCAAATTGGCATGAAGTTGCCTTTTTAGGCATCAAATTAATTACCACATCAATGGAAAGACAAACATATCTGGGTGTTGATACTGGACAGTCACAATATCCTCCTTGAAAAGCAGATGAGATGTGTGGGTGTTTAATTGTTCACTAGCTGTTTTCCTCTTCCAGACTCTTATTAGGTGCTATTTCTTCTGATGAGTCTGCCTCTCCTCCCCTTCATCATCTCGTGGATTCTTTCCTGGATCTGAAAACCCAGTCCAGGCACTAGATCCTCCAAGATTTCCAGACTCCCTGAACTGGGCCAAGCATTTGTCCTGGGCTCCAACAGCCCCTTGGACCTGTCATTGTTGATGCACTGGCCATACTGCACTGAAATTCTTTCTCTGTCACCCCCACTGGACTGTGAGCTCCTTTCTGTGTGTCCACAGAACAGAGAAGAGGTGGCCAGTCAATACTTGTGGAGTTGAACTGAGCTTGTAACCACTGAGTGACCAACTAAGCTTTCTGGCCATGTTTCTCTGTATATCCTCATGTACATGTGTTTGTTCCTTCGTGTATTTCATTCAATGGGTACATGTTGAACAGTTACTAAGTACCAGGGGAACTGTTTTACAAAAATAGCCAGTGAAAGAGGAAAGCTAGGAGCATGTGGCATCCTGGAAACCATGTGAAGAAAGGGCTGAAAATAGAGATAACCAAGTGTGTCAAATGCTGCTAAGAGGCTATATAAGATGAGGTCTGAGACTTAACTGTAGTTTGGTCAATGTGAACATCATCAGTAACTTCAGCCATTTTGATGAAGTGGTTGGGCAAAAAAAAAAAAAACTGGGGTAATTTCAGAAAGGCATTGGAGCAATGAAGAACTAAAGAAAGCTGCTATAAATATATGAAAAGTTTTGCTGTAAAGTAAATACATATATGGGGTTTTGTTTTGCTATGCAAAGAGTTTTTATTTGCATGCAATAGGTATATGTACCCTTTCTTTCAAAGCTTCTGGGTTTCCTGTTTTGAGTAGAAATGTGATGTCTGTGAACAGCAATTCTGGTAAGAATTTTTCACAGTACATTAATTCCTCTGTCCTTTCTGAGGCCTCCCCTGTTTGGAGGTTGGAGGGGTCTTCCTGCTGGGTCTAGGGCTGTTTTTTCAGTAACCTCAAAACCTTTTGACTGATTCACAGCTCATATACCCATAACCAAAAATGACTACAGTCAACAACTGCAGCCATGTAACTGACACCAAACCCTGATGTGGCCACAACTCTTCCTCTCTGGATCCCACCACCAACCTTCTATACACAGGCAGTTTCCCACAGGAAGAATGTGGAAAGACCAAAGGACTACACGTATTAGGACCATGACATGAGGAAACACAGATACCCAGGGGCATATTGAAGTGGTAGCAGCAGGCAGGATTACATCCACCACCCATTCCCCACCATAATCTTCCTCCAGAATGTAACCACCCTGTACACTCGGACCCAAACAGGAGACCATTGCACAGCAAGACACATGGTTTCTCATAGAGCTCTATTGTGGCATATAATAATAGGTACTCTATATAAATTAAATTAAAAATAAAGCTCCAGCAGGTTGCACAGGTTGGCTGTTAATAAATATCTCTCTGGGTAATTGTGCCCCAAGACCAGCTCACGACCACTCTCCCTCGTCCAGAGAATTATACAAAAATAAATACAGGCTCGGGGTGGGGTGGGGGAGGACATGCCTGGTTTCATTCTAAAAGTCCTTTTTTCTCACATCATCCACTATCCCTTCCTCTCCATGGGTATCACTGCAGGGAGTCCCGTGCTGACTGGACAGCTCCAGGACAAGGAAGGCTCTCTCCAATCGAGCATTCTCAGAAGGAAAGGACCAAGGTCCCTCACTGCACAGGCCACAAATCTCATATCAACCCTGTGAGGTGGTAGAGGGACTGCCCCTCCCCAGACCCTAGAGAGGGGGAAGCCTGTTATTGCTGATCCCACAAGCATCCCCTACGAGAACCAGGCCAGAGAGAGGCACAGCGCAAGCACCAGGAGGGACACACCACTGTTCAAAGCCACAGGGACGACCACCAGCCCAGCCAGGACTCCCAGAGTCTGGGTCAAGGGCCCCCGGAGCTGAGGAGGTAAGCCACATACACATTCTGCAGGGGCAGCTAGGGTGGGAGACTTCTTTGAGGGCTCAAGGTTTGGGTCTGCACCCTTTTCATCCTGGGAGATCACATGAGGTCTGGCCATACTAGAAAGACAGACCTCAGCCTCCACAGGACCAAGGAGGGTGGGATTCTGCTCCTGCAGAAGGACTGGAGCAGCTGGTTCTTTGCCAGATAAAGAAACCAAGCTGTCTGCCAACTCACCAGTGACCTCCATCCGGGCTTCTGTCCCGGCTTCCCCTGGGGACCTCGTCACCCCAGCTATGATCCTATTCATGTGCAAAGAGGTGGTGTTCTTACCCACCCCTTTCTCTGGATCCCCAGTAAATTGGCCCTCTGTACCCAGAACCACAGGGCTGTCACATCCTGAGCCTTCTGCCCATGGGAGCCACACATCTCCCATAGTGGCTACCATAGAGTGGGCCCCAGAGAGGATTTCCGGAGGCGATTCTTTGGGGCTGTCTCCTTCAGGGCTGGAAGGAATGATGGAGAGCCCCTCTTCACCCTCCCCGTCATCATCAGGGTCCTCGGTGTCCTTGATGAGCTCCACACCACGCCCCAGGCGCGCATAGTGCAGAGTGATCTCCTCAGCCAGGGCACTGTTCAGGGCCCTCTCAGGGCCAGGCCACTTCAAGATCAGGTCACGATCCGTGAGTATGCCCAGGGGATGGCTGGGGGACATCCCTCCATCTGTGGGGCCCTCCCCACCACCCCCTGCCCCACCTGCAGCCACAGCAGCCCGCAAGCGGCTCAGGTGGGATAAGTAGAGCTGCTCCAGCTCCTGGTCAATGGTGTCTTCGCCAAGCAGCTCCTCCAACCCACTCACGACCTCCAGACCCCCAGAAGGCTCATCCATAATAGCCCCCACCATGGGGTCCTTTCGACTCCCTCCACTCTCACTCAATACTTCCCACGTGGTCTCAACTTGTTGCTGGCTGGGTTCCAGGAAGGGCCCCGTGGCCCCCTCACTTGCATCGGGCCCTGAGGCCTGGTCCCTGGGGAAGCCACCCAGACCACAGAGAGGGGTGGAGGGGGGAATCCTGATGGCTGGTGCCTGGGGGACTTCTGTAAAAGCCACAGGTGGACTGCTTCTGGGGATGTCACCTTCTTCTGGGGGTTTTCCAGTTGCAGTAGCTTCAGAAACCTGGAGCCATGATGGGAATAGGGAGAGAAAAGGAAGGGAATGAAGTAGAGGAGGGGAGGGACAAGCAAGACAATAAGAACAAGTGACAGCCCACACCCAGCCCAACAGGAGTTTCTGGATAATGCCTTAAAGAGCCCTCTTGAATTCTTTAAACTCCAACGACTCTGTCATCCAGATAGGTATTTACGTAAGTAAATAGGTAGGTAGGTAGATTATTAGATAGATAAATAAATAGATATAGATAGATATGGACATGTATAGGTACTGGGGATTGAAATCGGGTACTTTACCACTGAGCTATATCCACAGCCTATATATATATATATATATTTTTTTTTTTTTTTGAGACAGAGTCTCGCCAAGTTGCGAAAGTTGCTGAGGCTGGCCTCAAACTTGCAATCTTCCTGTCTCAGCCTCCCAAGTTCTGGGATTACAGGTGTGCACCATCACACTCAATTTATGTCTAAATTTTTTTTTCAAAACAATTCCATAGAAAATGAGAGGGGAGGCAGAGAGTATGGAAAGTAGGAATGGACACATATTGATATTTGTTGGAACTAGGTGATGGTATATGTGAGTTCATTATACTGGTCTCTTTACATTTATACATATTTGGAAACTTTTATAATAAGAAGTTAAAACATACACATACATACACACACACACACACACACACACACACACACAGCTCTGAGATGTCCCTTCCTCCCCTGTCACCACCATCAGGGCTCTCCCAGACCCACTGCAATGGCCTCCTCCTCCTCCCTGGCATCCCTGTTTCCATCCTCCCCTAACAGCTTATTTCCAGGTAGCAGTCAGAGGGAGCTTGTTAAATCCAAGGTCAGACCAAGTCCCTCCTCTACTCACAACCCTCCTGTGGCTCTCGCTCTCACTATAAAAGCCTAAGTCCTCACTGTGGCTCACAAAACCTTGTCCAATCTATCCCCAGCCACCTCTCTTGACCTTAACTCCCACCATTCTGCCCCCCACTCACTCTGCTCCCTCCACAATAGCCTCCCCTGTCCCTCACACATTAGTCATGGCCCCACTTCAGGAACTTTGTACTTGCCTGGAATGCTCATCTAGTTATCCCCATGGCTCACTCTCTCATCTTTAGATCTTCTCTCAAATCTCAATCTTTGCTAAGTCCTTCCCAGTCCACCTGATCTAAAGCTGTAAACATCCATCTCTCTCTCTCTGTGTCTCTCCTTCTCTCCCTCTCCCTTCAGTTTTTCCCTTAGTATTCATCTTCATATAACAATATGCTATGTATTTTAACTATTATTTTATTGTATCTCACCTAACATGTAAGCTCCATGCAAACAGCATTTTTGTTTACCACTGTGTTTCCAGTGTCTAAACACAGAAAGCACCCCTAAATATTTGCCAAATTAACGACTGAAATTTTCCTAAGCCCAGGTAAATCACTGATTCTCTCCCTCCCCTATCATCTTCTGGTTTTTGCAAACTCCCTCTGACCTAGAATGAACCCAGAGTTACTTGGCTCCACTACCTAGTCCAGCTGAGGTTACACATTAGGCTGTCTGCCCCCAGGATGCAAGGGCCTGCTTACCTGAAGGGTCATCTGGGGCCATGGACGGAGAGGGGTAGGGGCCACCAAGGAGCCCAGTGACTCCTGGACATCAAGATGTTCTGCTTAAGAGAAGAGAAGGAAAGTGTTGGAGCAAGACAGGTGTAAAAGCATGTCTTATTTTATTAAGAAAATCTACGAGTGTGGCCAACTGGCAGTTTGTCTCTGAAGCTTTCTGTGGCAGTCTAAGGCAGAGGGTACCTCTTCACTTTTATAGAAAGAAAAAGGGTAGGAAGAACGAAATGACAGGATCTTGGGATGTGGCTCAGTGGTAGATCACTTACCTAACATGCAGAAAGCCCTGGGTTCAATCCCCAGTGCTACAAATAATAATAATTAGTAGTAGTAGTAGTAGTATTTAATATTATTGTTGCTTCACCAGGTGTGTCAGCACACACCTGTAATCCCAGTGACTCAGGATCCTGAGCCAGGAGGATTGTAAGTTCAAGATCAGCCTCAGCAATTTAACAAATTTGAAATAAAAAAGGGCTGGGGATGTAGCTTAAGCTTTTTTATTTTGAGCTTGTTAAATTGCTGTAAAGCACCCTTGGAAGAAGGAAAAGAAAAAAGAAGGGGCTAGAAGGCCTGAAGGTAGAGCACTTTATGTACAAGTCCCTTGGTTCAAATCCCTAGTACTGCAAACAAGCAAAAACAATTGAGTTATAAAAAGGGACTAGAACTGCAAAGCTTGCCAGGTGCTTACCCATGGCAGGGGTATTATCATCCATGTTCTTCATCCTCAGCTCCTCTTCATGAGGCCTGTGGGGCAGAGGAGAGAGCACATAGATCTCACGCCCTGAGAGACCAGTTCTGCCACCAGTGGGTACCTTCTGCACCTCTGTGGTGGCCTATCCTCACCTGACAGCTGCTACTTTCTGCTGAAAAGTCCTACACGCTTATGGAAATTTTGCAAAATACAGGAAAGTATAAATATACAGGAAACAAAGCAATCACACACATCAGATAGAGGCTACCACTATTACCATTATGGAAAATTTCATTCCAGACATTCTTTGAAACTGTTTAGATTCTACATACTTTTACAGCTGGCTTTGATGATTTATCAGTAAGAAACATTACAGGATTTTGCAAACATTGAAAATGGCTGCTTAATAGTCATATCTTATGGCTTGTTATAATTTCCATAGCTATTCCCTTTCTGCTGAGCAAGTAGGTTGTTTCCTTTACTTTTGGGTCAAAAGCAGACTTCAGCAAACAGTCTTGTGCACAGCTTCAACATGTTTGGTTCACTATGCATAGTGGAGCTTGCCCATAATCCCAGCAACTTGGGAAGCTGAGAGAAAAGGATCACAAGCTCAAGGCCAGCCTCAACAACTTAGTAAGACCCTGTCTCAAAGTAAAAAAATAAAATAAAATAAAAAGGGCCAGAGATGCAACTCAGAGGTACAGTATCACTGGGTTTAATCCCACAATAAGAAAAAAACTGGATCATTTGTTTATGGTCCATTCCTATCTGGGGACAAAGCCATCTTCTCCAAGAAAGGGCCGAGGGAAAAGACTTTGGGACACAGGAGTCAACAGGGGGAAGAAAGAAAAAAAGTAAATGGAGAATAGGAAGGGGGTCAGAAAGGCCTGGGTCCCTTCACCAGCCCTTGCCCATGCCCAGATCAGCCTGCCATATCATGTCACCTTCTCACTTGTAACATAAGCCAGGATATGCACATCAAGCACAGGGAAATGAAGAGGAATGAGCATGGAAAGCCATATATCAGGACCTGGCACACAGCAGGGCTAAATCAATAGGAAGTGGCTATTGCTCCCTTGCCAGCCAAGTCTGACTTAAGTGACATAAACCAAGAATATTTTAACCAGATACCTCCCCTGCCAGGGTTGGTGTCTCATCATAAAGAAATCACTATTCTTACTTTCTTACGAGTATCAAATGGGTACAGATAAGGTGAATGAAGGAAGCACTGATTACAGTTTCAGAGACCTGAGGGAAGCTTAGACTTTTCTTCCTGAGAAGCAATGGGGTAATACTGACATTCCTAGAAATAGCTGAAACTTTGTGAAAACACCGCATCACTTGCCTTCACAAATAAAGAATATCAAGCTGGATGTGGTGACACATGCATGTAATCCCAGCGACTCAGGATGCTGAGGCAGGGGCAGGAGGGTCGTGAGTTCAAAGCCAGCCTCATCAGCTTAGTAATGCCCTAACCAACTCAGTGAGACCCTGTCTCTAAATAAAATATAAAAGAGGGCAAGGGATGTGGCTCAGTGGTTAAGCACCCCTGAGTTCAATCTCTGGTACCCCCCCAAAAAAAAAAACAGTATCACTAATTGACCTGTACATATGTACTATGGCATTAAGGCACTGGTCTGTGTGCCTCACATATATTAATTTAATCTTCACAGTGCCCCGAGATAGGTACTTCTAATCCTTTAAACTACATATGATGATCTGGAGATGGTGTGAGTGGCTTACAGTCATGCAGACAGGATTGAGACACAGGCCTTCTGGTTTTGAATCAATATGCTGCCACTTCTTAGATGAGAAAGACTGGGGTCTTACCCAATTTGATTTCCAACACTTTCTAGAAGTAGATAAAGGGAGGCATCAATAATAGACAAGATTTCTCCCTACTCCTTCATCCAGCCTTTTCTTTGGACTTGCCCTTTGCCCTCCATACTCATTCCCAGTTTCCCTGCCTCCATGGTCATGTGGGCTAGAAGACCAACAAGGACAAAGGTTGCCAGAACTTTTTATTATCACCCTTGAGGAAGAAGCCTGAACCATGTATATGGATCTAGAATCTGGAAAGTCTTGGAAAGCAGAGTCTATCATTCTCTCTGGTCTTAAACATCCCACAGAGAGGCATCTGAATCAGAATACTACAGGACCTCAGATGGGTGATGCTGGGATCTCAGAGATCAACCCCCTATACCTCACAGTTGAGAAACAGGGATTCAGAGCAAATCACCATAGTCCTATACTAGTCCCCTCAGTAGATTTAAAATCCAGGCCTATGAACTTGTGGCTCAACATGATCTCTGCCCAACAGCTCGAAGTCAGTGCTTGTTAAAAAAATAAAAATAATCTTCCTAGGACCTTCTAAAGCAAGCCGCTTCAAAAATACTCCTGAACAGACAGAAAGCCAGCCCGCCCTCCCAGGGACAGGACTAGGCAAGCCTTCCTGCCATCTGGCCCAGTTCTGACATGCGTGACAACCAAGTTTCTAAAAGCCACTACAAAGTGGCTTAAATGTGCGAGTGAAAAGGGAAGAACTCAGGAAGCAGTCAGTCAAAAAGCAAAGGTCTCCACAATTCAGCTGGAGGAAGAAATGGGGGAAGAAAAACAAATGCAAAAGAAATCCTTCAACTGCCAGAGCAGCACTTTGACAAGTCTAAGAGGAACATCTAAAACTCAGGTCAAGCAACTGAGCCTATCCCAGGGTCCACAGAGTCCACAGAAGCAAAGAAGTTGTTCTCCTAAACTCAAAGTCAGAAAAATGAAAGCAGGAGGCACCAGCATTTATTGTTCACTTCTCCAAAAAACAGGCCCTTTTCATTGGTATACCAAGTCATTTGAAATGCAGAAAGTAAGGCTTAAGGAACTGTCCCTATGCACACTCACTCCACACCACATTAATAACATACAAAGGGGGCTCCATTTTGAAGACAGTATCTGAAATTGGAGGCCTAAAATATAGATATATCCTTGAACTGTCGTCCACGATAACAATTTTAGAGGCAGCTCTGACTACAATCAAAATGAGGACAGTAAGGGAAATCAAGAACAAGTGTATACTGACTCACTGATCAGTAACAGAAGGATTCTTAGAAAAATGGGGAGAGATATTAAGAACAAAACTGTACCTACAGTGTGCCTGCTAATTTTCAAGAAGGAAACCTGCTCTTTTGGCACCAGTCCCACAAATGCCACGTGGCATCCTCTCAAGGGTTGTAGGCAGTAGAAGGCCATGGCACCAGTTGCTGCGGCTGTCTCAGGCAAGAACCTTGGGAGTACTTGTGAGTAACAGCCAAGTCGGTGTTATTTGGAAGGGGCTAAGGCCTACACACCAATCTCCTGGGTGTGAAAATTTCTCCTGCAAGGAACTGCTGAACTCACAGTACCTAAGGAAATCGGGGAGAGAGATCTTAGAAAGAGGTGGCATCAGCCTCTGCCTAGGCCAGCAGAGACACAACAGAAAGATGAATTGCCAGGGTTAGACAGTGAACAAGCAAGAGAGGGCTGGCAAGCCTCATGGAGAAAAGCAAAGCATACTCTCAAGAACAGTCACATCCCTGCTACCACCAACACCACCCAAGAACTGAGTGCCCTCAGCACTCACATCTTCAAAGAGTGTTGCCAGCCCAAAGTGGGTCAGGCACTGAAACCAAAGGGAAACTCAGCAGTTCCCGGCTCCCATGGACACAATCTGATGCTGCTGCTGACTCTCAGGGTGGGGGGTGGGGGGGTAAAGGCAGTTTCAGAAAGCTGCCCTGTGATACTTGGAATCATAGTTACCCTAGGCCTTTGCTTTCAGGAAAGAATGGGGTTTGAAGGCAGATGTGAAAGCCACCAAGTTATGTGGGACACTGCCTCACCTTCCCCAAGCAATGTCAGCCTCAACTTTGAGACTTATAATATGGCAAGGTGGAGGGAGGAAAGCATTTATCATGCCATGAGTCTCACTTATTGCTGTGACAATTCCCTAGCCATAGCCCACCAGTAAGGAAACCATTTTACATCATAACCCAGCACACCCACTCATGAGTAAATATATTCACACATATAGAACTGAAAAATGGTTGTTCTTTGAATTTGAAACAATACTTACCTTTCCTGCATAGTGTGACATGCTTGGTACTTCTATGCCACTTTTTAGTATTGGTTAGAACCCAAAAAATTGATTTCACATCTCAATAAATGGTCAAAACATCTAAGTTTTAATAATTCCAGCTCTTCCACCTATTAGCAGTGTAACCTGGTGCAAGTTATTTAGCCTCTCTGCCACACTCTTCTCATCTATTAAGAGCGGATAATAGTGATTTCCTCCCTCAGTCAGTTAAGTGAACTGAAGAAATATATGAAAAGTGTCTATAAAGTGCTTAAAAGTAATTCTCTTCAAATTCGCACTGAGGGAAACTGAGGATCTGAAAAAGAAAGCTACATGCCCAGAGGTGCCCAGCTGGTAAGACACACTCCCCAGCCTGGTAGAGCAGTTAAGAACTGGGGTACCAGAGCAGAATCTCCCAGGCTTAGTTCCCAGCTCTGCCACTTTCTTAATGAAGGACCATATCCTTAATTGTGATGCCCTACCAATTTTCTATGGAATAAAATGGGTGTCATTTTTCATTAAATCCTCTCTCCAGACACCTCTGATAACCTCTGACCCATCCTATTTCAACTCTAATTGCTCCCATTGGCCCTAAGGCTACCAACTTACATTATCAAGTTATTATCAAGTTGGATCCCATCCATTCAGTTATAGGTGCACCTAAAACCCACTGAGGCCTTATTGTGCATCATCCCAGTGACCAACCCTGGACATACACCGGTGAGCAAACCCAACTAGGAAGCTTACAATTCACTGTGGAAGAAGACATTAAAAAAATACTCAAACTCGTTCTTTCAACAAACATTTATTGAGCACCTGCTAAATCCCAGGCACCATGGCAGGCCTGCAAAATACAGTGGTGACCAAAGCAGACTGTATCCCTACCCCTCACGGAGCTTACAGTCTATCAGGGCAGAGTTATCCAGTAACCCCTTAATAAATGTCTAACTACAA